GGGTAGGAGAGATATGAAATATCAGCCGGAGAGGACACCTGAGTCTTAGTTAAAAAGAGTAAGGCCGGCTTTGCCGTCTCTAGATGGTAATGGACAGCGTTAAGGTTGGAATGAAGTCCCCTGATGTTGCAAAAATTCACGGATAGCGTGACAGGGGTCGGCTTGGTTTTATTGCTCCGTTTGCCCCGAGCAGCATTAGTTGCGAGCGGAATTTTTGCCCCCCCCCCCCCCCCAGAATACGCGGGGCAGCCTAAGCACCCACGCTCAGGAGTCTCACTTTGGTCGTGGATGCTCAGCGAGGGATTCTCCAGGGGTGCTGGTACCCTCCTGGGGTCTTTTATTTAATTCCACTACCATGTTGATGGGGGGGAGGAACTTGGGCCTCCGGCCACCTGCACTCACCAAGCGCAACGCAGAAGTAAACCTCTACTTCACGCTGGTATTCTGTGAGGTCGTGATACCACCCCGGTTTGAGCCGGCCTAGCCGTGCGACAGCAAAAGCTGCCGCGTGGCTCTACCACTGTTTAACTCTTGTAAATCTTACTTTTTTTCTGCCCATCATAAATTAACAACCGATACACATGAATAACTTATTTTCTTCGCTATGAGACAAGTCCAGTCTTAACGAATAAACCAAACACAATAACTGCCTTTCTTTCTTCAAAACTTCTTTAATACATTGACGTTTTTCGTTAACGCCAAACTCCCATGATCGCGACTGAAAAAACGTATCGCTTAAAGGCGAGGTGCGCATGCGGCGATGCCGCATAAGCCTCAACCGCATCGTCAATCTACCTGTCCTATTCATAGCTGCCTTTACGTTTTACGGAATTAACCGGTTAATTTGGGTGTCAAAACCATTAAGTAACCGGTAACCTTTATCGATTAGGTTTAATAAAAACCGGTTAATTATTTAACCGGTAATTGAAGGAGCGATAAATTTACCGGTAATTAATCGAAATTAACCGCTCTTTTTAAACCGGTTCCGAGCCCTGCAAACGAGCACACAGTCCACCCGATGGTAAGTGGTTGCTGCGGCCTATAGACATCTACATCTATCCTCTGTTACAAATCAAAATGTAGATGCGTTGTCACCCGTGAGGACTAAGATGGAATGCCTCATTTCCAGTAAAAAGGGCCTCCGGCCACCTGCACTCACCAAGCGAAACGCAGAGGTAAACCTCTACTTCACGCTGGTTTTCTGTGAGGTCGTGGTACCACCCCGGTTCGAGCCGGCGCATCCGTGCGACAACAAAAGCTGCTGCGTGGCTCTACCACTGTGAATTTATGATTAGTCTGAATAATGTCTCTCATATTCACTTTTCGAGGAAAATAATGGTTTTTCTGACCATGTTATAATTACATTAATCGAATAATCGCTATACACAAAGTACGGACGAAGTTAGCGTGGAAGTGCATGAGAGAATTCATCATCACATTTTATCCCGTGGATTTCGTAAGAGGAGACTATGGGTTTTTCCAGAAAAATCTGATGGCTTCCGACAGATGCCGGTATAACCACCTGGTTTACTTCAGATGTAAAATATCCAGACCGGCGCCAGGCAACATTGCCAGAGGTGCTCACGTCTGGTTCTGCGATCGTCAGTCCTATGCCAAGCGTGACGCTCAAGGCAAATCCTCCCTACATCGGGAGAGATCCTTCCATGTTCAGCAGAGGAAGTTTACGTGAAGGTAAGATAGAGGAATTATTTGCAGGCCATACAAAGATTCACAAGCCCTGGTAGCTCGGAGGTCCGTCCTCCACTGGCACCAATAAAATAGTTAATTTTGTAAGTAGGTATGTATATATTTTGTATGTATGTATACATACATACATACATACATACACGCCGTTTCCGTCCTATCGATCCTAACAGCTTCGATGGAAACCGTATTGAAGGCACAGATTACTTAATAGTTTACTAAACAGATACATCACTCTCATACAAAAGAGAAAATACCTACGCTATAATAGCCTACAAAATCTTAATAATAATATTTGCTGTTCGCAGCGAGAGGAAAATGTACCATAAATACCCGTATAAAGAGTCGAAATATGATGATTATTGTAATAAAACGAATCTTGCGAAATAACCGTATTTTTTATTTGTCAATAAAATATGTTTGAGTTTTATAAAATGATTTATACATTTTTTTTCCTTCTCTGAATTCTCGGTTATTAAATTTTGTCGTTGAAAATGGTTGTCACTCAATTTATAAATAACAGCACTGTTATGCTTTGTTTCGATGTAACCTTATAGTAAAGAAAAAAAAAGACAATGTTTCATTTGTTTTTTGACTCTTTACGTGGTTTCGGCATTTCGACGAGTAAGCGCGGGAAACGAGTGCAGTGCAAGCGCTCAGGCGGGCGTGCGGCAGCCCTATGTCGGTTGTATCGTGGGCGAACGCTGCCCAGCCGAGTTGAATTCATCGATTGACCTCTCGGTCGAAGTTGGACTTACCTAGTCGGACTATTTGTCCCAGGTAAACATACTCGTCAACAACTTCGAGGTTAGGGCTCCCAACAACTACCGGTATAGGTGTGACATGGACATTAAACATATGTTAATACCGTATCCTTTCCAGTCCAGAAGCTTGAAAACGTCTTCCAATGCAGCGGTGAAGAGTTTCGGGGATATAACGTCACCCTGTCTTACACCTTTCTGCAATTGTATAGGTTTCGTACTCTGGTTCTGTACTCGGATAGCCATCGTAGCCCTACTGTACAAGCACTTCAGCACTTCGATATACCGACAGTCAACTTGGCACCGCTGAATGGACTGCAGCACCGCCCAAATTTCGGCGGAATCAAAGGCTTTCTCATAGTCCACATACGCCAGACTTAGTGGCAAATTGTACTCCTCGGACTTCTGTACAACTTGCCGAAGGGTATGTATGTGGTCTATGTTGCTAAAGCCCTTTCGGAAACCGGCTTGTTCGGAAGGCTGGAAGTCGTCTGCGCGCGAGACGATTCGTAATGACTCTCGAAAACAGCACGTAGACGCGACTCAGAAGGGAAATCGGTCTGTAGTTCTTCAAGAGAGCGTTGTCACCTTTCTTGAAGAACAAGACCACCGCACTTCTGCGCCACGCCTCCGGTGTAATGCCGCCATGGAGGACGGAATTAAAGAGCTTCTGAAGGACTTCAAGTACCGGTTTTCTACCCGCTTTCAGAAGCTCCGCTGTAATTCCATCCTCGCCTGGGGCCTCTCCGTTTTTAAGGTGCTGGAGAGCCATTCAAATCTCGCTCAGACTGACGTCCGGGATATCTTCGGAATAGTGTCGGATAAGACTCGCTCTTGGATCGTTACTCACACTTGCGTGTGGCTCCAACGATGACGTGTACAGCTGCCCATAGAACCTCTCAACCTCACTCAAAATCTCAGGTGTCCCGGAAACGATGCTGCCACATTCTGTCTTCAGCTTTGACATTTGGCTCTTTCTGGCAGACAGATCCCTGGCAAAGACTTTGGAGCCTTGGTTCCGCTCGATCGCTTCTTCAATACAAGCTGTATTGAAGTTGGCGTAGGTTCAGTTGCCTGTATGCTGTCAAATCTGTTGAAGAATAAAGCTTTATCTCCCGTCTAATAGCCATGAGATTAAGAGTGTGATCGGAGAGTTTTTGTGTTCTTCTGCGGCGGGTCTTGCAGAACTTAGCTCCGACCGCATGGACAGTTTCCACGAGCTTGTCATTCATATCGTCCACTTCATTGCAGTCTTCTGGGCACTGAAAACGGTTTTATAACTCGAGCTGAAAGGTTTCGGGACTCTGGAACAGAGCACGAGGGGGACGAAGCGTTGACTTCATTAGACGAGACCTCTCCAACTTAACGTTTATTAGGTTCAGTGTGCCTCTGACCATTCAGTGATCGCTACCAGTTTTCACCCTCGCGATCACGGAGACATCACTGAACAGTTGTCGTCTGGTCGTCATAATGAAGTCAATCTCATTTTTTGTCGAACCGTCGGGGCTCGACCAGGTTCACTTCCTGTGGGGCCGCTTCTGGAAGAAAGAGTTCATCATAAAGAGTCCCTCTGTCTCCATGAAGTCGGTCAGCTGCTGGTCCCTTGGGTTCCGTTGCCCTATTCCAAATTTCCCTACTTTCAGCTCACCGTTCTCTCTTGTGCCTAGTTTTGCATTGAAGTCTCCCATTAACACCGTATATTGGGTTTTGGAGGAATGCATGGCTCTAGAGATATCCTCATACACTTCCTCCACCTCCTCATCGGGGTGTGCCGAGGTTGGTGCGTAAACCCGTATGACCTTCAGCGAATACCGTTTGGTGATTCTGAGTATAAGGTACGCAACCCTCGTCGACACACTCTCAATCTTTACAACGTTGTTAACGAGAGACTTGTGGACGATAAATCCGACACCTCCTTGGTACAGATGGTCGCCCTCCCGGTGATAGAGCAAGTTGCCGGATTCGAGGATAACCGTGTCCTCCCCCTCTCTTCGGACTTCGGATAATCCTATAATATGCCAGTGTAACTTGTCTATCTCTTCTTCCAGCTACACAATTTTCTCGTCAGTCCTCAGTGTGCATGCGTTGTATGTTGCCAGGTCGAGTCGTCTTAGGTGGCAACCGAACCTCCACCGGAGATTCTTAGCACGTCCTGCCCCACCGTAACCATGGTCGCCACCGTAGCCAGGAATAGCGGGGCCGCCGTGGACTGGGGGCAGTCTCTTTGTTACATTCATAAGGGGGTATTTGCCATAGTTGCCACGCTTGGCGAGCGGGATGGCAACCGCAGTTTTTTTATTGTATTTTTGCTGTTACCAGGAAGATACTGCTGCCTATCTCCTGCCTGTTTCCCTTTGTCGCCTTTTACGACACCCACGGGAAGATATGGGGTAGTGGATATTCATAACCGCCACTACACGGCAAGCCCCAATATGTCACTATAATATTATTTTGTGTCCATGGGCTACAGTAACCACTTGCCATTAGGTAACTTTTAGCTTATTTTAATAATATCACAAAATGTGCATATCTTACCTGTTTCATGATTCCCATTTTGTTCAAAATTGTAATTCTCATTTTCGAAATTCTCTTCCTCAACTTTAACAGATTCAAGGCTAAACATTTCGTTGTTACATTCTATATCATTTTCTATATCACACTCTACTGGCCTGATATCTATATGACTAATTGGTGTGAATTGAATCTTATCTCTAGCCTCATGCGATTTTGGTATTGACTGAAACCAAATAAATATTTTAAATAAGAGAAAAAGCCAGTGTAGTGGTGCTGTAGGAGAATCCATACTATCATACCATCCCGCAGATGTCGTAAAAAGGGACAGAGGGAAACTGAAACAGGAGATGGGCAGCAGCATCTTCCTGACAACAACTCCAAATATGAATAAAATCCAGACAAAAGGAAGGTTCCGAATAAACTTACATAAGAATGTAGATAGTTCATCCATCCCGAGCATCGAGTCTCAACAATTTTTCGAAACAGATTCACGAATGCCATAAATTGACAAAGATCTTTGTTGATTTTTGTTAATGAGTAATATTACATATAAATAATATTTCGTTTATACACAATAGAGTATAAAGAGCCGTGATAGCTCAGATGGTTAGCGCTCGATGTAAGCTTCATAGTACACAAGCAACCCGGGTTCGATCCCCGTAAGATGCAACATAGGGAAACAGAAATAGGAGTTGGGTAAAAGCATCTTCCTGATAACAACTCAGACCAATATAAACTGCGGTTGCCAACCTGCCGAGCGTGGAATATTGGGCAATACCCCTCCTATATGTAGCAATTTAAGAGGGGCTTTATAGGTTTTAATGGATGGAACGGATAATACCATGGACCCTCCTGCAACCAACTGCTCCAGAACTGCTTTTGACTCAATAGCCAGTTGTTGTAATGTTCTGCAACGAATGAGTCTTGCATGACAGGTGAAACAAACAATTATGGGCTCCTCATCCTCATCCATCTGAAAATATGAAAGCTCATCATAAATATGGAAAACTACTTAAATGTACAAGTTTGTAATAAAATCAGTCGGCTACCACAATTCTCTTCATCCTAATCTTACTAGTAGAATACCACCTGATGGTAAGTGAGCCCATACACATCTACAATTAATCCCCAATTAAGAATCAAAATGCAGATATGCTGTCACCTATGAGGACCACTACGGAACACCTCACCTAAGTACAAAGTATGTCCGGTTCTCTACACTCACCATACATATCAGAGCAGAATTAAGCTGCTATTTTACAATGGTATTCTGTTTAGTCCATGGTACCACCCCAGTACAGCCGACCCACCTGTGACACATAGATATATAGCAGCAGCATGACAATAATAATTTCCTATGGACAGAATTTCAATCACAATAGAGACTATTACAGGGCAGGATTATATTGCATGTGTGTGTAAGCAAGCACATGTGCACATTATTCCCTTCTCAGACTTGTGTCTTTAGGAATACAAGAAATATGAGAGCGAGGGAATTTTTGTGTCTGTAAGTACATTGCACTCTAATCTCTCACTTTAAGTCTGATAGAATGGTTTTTAGTGAGTGGAAGACCAAATCAGGGTGGATGTTAATTTCTTGACATAATATATACTAGAACAGACACTGCGAAAAATTCTATGCAGCAGTGCAAGTCGTGTGGAAGAAACAGAAACAGCTAAGCCCGCCGGTTCTAATGAGTGTTGCAAACAACTAAGTCCTACTACATACTAGAAGACTAGTATGTAGTAGGATTTAAGGCTAATAGTTGATTTTAAGGTTCTGGTTGCACTATATTTAACGCTGCACCTTAGCCTAGCCCCGATCTATCGCATTTTATATCAGGCAAGGTATAATGTATTTCTCCGGCGATAACAACAAATTACCGCAACTTCAATTTGCAATTTTAAGAAATATTAACAAACTTACAAAATTGTTCGTCAATGTTTTGTACAAATTTCGGAGACTAGTCTTCTTTAGTACAAGCATGCGAACATTAACGCATAAACAAATTCTACAAACTTCACTGAAGGCCATTCCTGTTTTCTATAGCTTTAATAAAATTGAATTCACTTTTTCATCAATAAATCGGAATTTTCAAAAATATCAAAATGCAATACGATAGGCAGTTACTGGCAGCACAATTTATAAAGTTGTATGTACAAGACTGGCAGTTACTATCGCAGACTCACAGACACATACTCAAAAGTACTCTGTGCACATACTTCCATTCTTCTTTTCTTCATAATAACTGGTATTACGGCTCTGGGATCTAGCTCTTCTGAGCCTCAAGTTACAATATATTATAATATCCTTCATAGTATACTGCTTCACAATATGTTGATGCGTCACATTGTGCAGTTCTTGGGAGATTTTGGCGGCAACTTGATCCAGCAGACAGCTGACAATTGGCGATGGTATCTAAAGGTGCCTATGCAAACAAACAGCTTATCTTGAGAATCCATCACCATCAGAGCACTTATTTCACTGTTTCCACTAATAGTTCACATGCGTAGACACTTAATACACAAAATCGCAACACTTTTACATATCAAAGTCCACTTCAAACCATTATTTAAACAATAATACAGGAGCAGCAAACCGCCGCCGGTCAATTTCCCGCCAAAACTCCAAACTACTACATACATTATATTCAGTGTTGTCAACTCTACATGTCAAAAAGTCGTTAACGTACGCTTGAAAAGTCGCTAGAAGTCGTTAGCTATGGACAAAGATCAAAGGTCGCAAGAAGTCGCTAAATGATCCCAGTAGACGGAGGTATATATATATATATAGAGTATGTAGGTATATATATATATATATACATATATATATATATATATATATACATATATATATATATATATATATATATATATATATATATATATATATATATATATATACCTACATACAAAGTTTTATGAAAAACTATCTAGTAGTTTTTGCGTGAATCGTTAATACACAAGCAGATAGACTGACAAAAATTGTAAATACCACTAATTTGGGTTCGGTATCCTTCAGACCACTGGACTTGATTTTACCATTAAATAATATAATTACGACACGAATATTCCACAAATTTATTAAATGAATAGATTGGCCGTTACTGACCGTACAAAAAGAGCCGTGGAAACTGAGCGCAATTCTTTCACGTAACTCTAATTCTATATTGTTTTACGCACGATAGTATGGGGCACAGTTTTTTTGGTCTGTTGGAATAAAATAAATTAATTTACGGTTTAAGAACTTTATTATCTCAAAGAATTTTACATTCACTTTTTGAGACTTATATATCTATAGCTTAATATAAATTTGGTTTGGACTATTCGTACAATGTAACAATGCAAATTATAATTCAAACTATAATTTAAACTACCGAAAAATACAAAATGTAGGTGGTTGTAAAAAGTTTCTAGCGACAGCGATGGCTCACTATGTGCAAATTCGACCGCCGACTTCTTTGTGCCGATTACATACATAAGCATTACTGGATGTGACTCGCACAGTAGAGTGATACAGTTGATTAGATTCAATAGTTTAGAGAGAAAAAAAGTCTGATTAAGTATCGGTTATAATAATTTATATATTTAGTAAAATTTGTAATATTTATATTATTTATTATTTCTGAATAACTTAAATAATAATTATTTTTAGAGTGTAAGAAGGAAATAATCTAGATATTTATTTATTTATGTTAGTTATTCAACATGAGAGTATTTATTTATTTAGATAGGTCTTTGTTTAGTCTTTCGATAGATGATACTCAAGTAGTCTTTTAAATGTGTGCATTGATTTTGAGTCTCTAATATCTTTAGGTAATTTGTTATATATTTGTGAACCTTCATACATTATGCATTTTTTTCCGAAATTTGTTCGTGGTGTTATTAATTCAATAACGTTGCTTCGCCTAAGTTTCATTTTGTGTAGTTGTATTCTCTTTGAAAAAGTTGTATTTGTGTGTATATCTTTATTTAAAATTTTTCGTACTAATATACAATTTTGGTACTTGTATGTTTGCGATATGTTCATTACTTTAATTTGTCTGTAAAGCTTATCTGTCGGTGTAAAATAATCAAAATGAAACAAAACTTTTAATAATTTATTTTGAGCAGTTTGTAGTATTGCTAGATTAGTTTTGGCTGCATTACCCCATATTTCTACTAGATAATCGATTTGTGGTTTCACAATGGAATTATAAATCGTATACCGTACAGGGACTGGAAGACAGCGAGCAATACCCTTTATCATACCCGTTAGAGATATCAACTTAGATTTTATTTTTAGAATGTGGGGGTGCCAAGTTAACTTACTATCTAGAATAAGACCTAGATACTTTTCTTGCTCCGTCTTATTAATTTTTATGCCGTCAATCATCAAAGGACTATAGTCACCAATCTTTTTGTTTTTAGCTGCAAAAATCATATAGCTAGTTTTAGTTATGTTGATCGTTAGCAGATTGCTCTGCAACCATTCATTTAGTGAATCCAAATCATTTTGTGCTTCCGATACAATAGATTCAATTGAGTGACCATAATAGAAAAGACACGTGTCATCAGCGTAAAGGTTACATCCCCACTTAAGCCTATCTTATTGATATTGTTTATATATATTAGAAACAGTAGGGGTCCTAAGATAGAACCCTGAGGTACCCCAAACGTTACAGTTTTGCAAGAACTTCGTGTTTTACCTATTTTTACTACTTGTCGGCGATTACTTAAATATGATTTGAAAATTGCTAGTGCAGTGTTAGTTAAACCAATGTTAGCAAGTTTATGTATTAACAACTCATGACTCACTGTGTCAAAAGCTTTTTTAAGATCTATAAATACACCAAGCGCGATTTTTTTTCTTTCTAGATTCAGCTTTATTTTCGTTACAAGGTCTACTGTGGCGGATAGCGTATTTGATTTGGATCTAAAACCATATTGTTTCTTACTAAGGAAATTTATTGACGTTAAGAACATTTCAAGTCGATTGTAAATAATTCTTTCGAAGACTTTTGAGAGTACCGGTAGAACTGAGATAGGACGGTAATTTCCAGGATCTAATTTTGACCCAGATTTGTAGATTGGGGTGATTTTGGCAATCTTTAGATTGTCAGGGAACTCTCCTATCTTTAGACATTCATTAATGCAGCCTGTTAATTCTTCTATTATTAAACTTTTGACGCATTTAATTGCTTTAGAACTAATACCTTCTAAGCCTGAGCTAGTGTTAGTGTTTAGGTTTTCAATTATTGCAGAAATTTCATCTACCGTTGCTGGTGCTAGATGGCTAAGTTTTTGCGAGTCAAATCCAGAATCACTCTCATTTTTATTACTGTAGCTTATGTAAGGTTTTTTTTATTTGATTTGCTAAATTCGAGCCAACACTGGCGAAAAACTCATTAAAACATTCACAGATTTCATCTGTTTTAGTTAGAATAAGTCCATTTTGATTCTTCAACTTACTTGGGAATGTTGCTTCTTTCAATTTATTATTTGATAGATTGTTAATCAAACTCCACATTTTTACTGGTTTATTTTTGCAATTTATAAATGCTTTAAAATAGTAGTTTGCTTTATTTTTCTTTATATTTTCTGTGACTTCATTTCTTTTCTCTATAAATTTATTTTTTATATCAAGATTTTTGGGGTTCTGTTTATATTGTTTCCACAGAATATTTCTGTTATTTATTTCATTGATTATTTCCTTATTTATCCAATCTTGTCGTGGGGGGTTTAAAATCTTTTGTTTATTAATGATACTCTTTCTTATACTGTCTAACAGCCTTTCTTCTAATTTATCATATGATTTAGATTCATTTGTTTCTTTGTCATTCTGCATAGTTGCAAAAAGTTTCGCGTAGTTTACAGCTTCATATTGTAATTTACTTAGAGGAACCGGCACATACTTTTTAATCTCAATATATATTTGTTTGTAATCTGAAATGGGTGACTCTAAAATAGCAAAGTGAAAATATTTATCATTAAGGTTAGTACATAGATGGTCAATAATAGATTTAGTTGTTTCAGTTTCCCTAGTACAAAAATTTCGGTCTATCTTATTTATAATTCTGTAACCATTTTCTTCCAAAATTTCTTTGTAAGCTAGGGTTCCACGATCTTTGGACAGTAGATTAAAATTAAAATCACCAATAATAATTGCTCTTTTATGTTTATTTATTTGTGCAGAATATTCATCCAAAAATTGTTTTATATTCGCATCTGGTTTTCTGTATACGGTTCCAACATCTAGACAATATTTTTCGAGATGAATCCAAAGGAAATGGTTACCATCCAAATTGGTGTCGCTGACGTGGCAGTGCTCCAAATCATTGTGAACAAAAATTGATACACCACCACCTCTTCCTGTGTTTCTGAAATTATAATAGTGGCTGTAGTTAGGGACGACAAAACGTTTTGCTTCTGCTTCGGATTTTATCCAAGTTTCAGTTAAAATAATGATGTTGACAGTATTTTTAAACATTTTTAGTAGGCATAGTAACTCATCAAACTTTCCTGGTAAGACAATGCTGCGTATGTTAGCATAGTATATTTTTAATGATTTCTTATTTGAGACAATGTGCTCGTAGTCGTCAACTAGTTGGTAAGTGTTTACTTTGTGATCTTCTGTATTATTACTACAATTTCTTATTGTTTTGAGTTTTTTGAGACGGTTTTAACTATTCTTGGCACATTTTTCGAATATTTAATTGAAATATTTTCTTCTCCCTTTTTTATTCTATCATTTAACTCTTGACTAAGCTCCTTTAGGTATAATTTTTGTTGCGGTGTTTGGTCTGAATATAGCCTTATTGTATCATCATTCAGCTTTGTCTTATTCTTCAATAAGAATTTAACGACATAAAAGCTTTTACAAAAATTTACTTCGCAAATATCCGCGTTATAAAATAAAATGATGTGTCTTACCTAGTATGAAGAAGCACCTCCCGCCCTCCCTCAATTGCGCTACTCCCAACACCGTGTTGGGAGTAGCGGTGCTGGGATTAGTGGTGACGGGGTTAGTGCACGCAATTGAGGGAGGGCGGGAGGTGCTTCTTCATACTAGGTAAGACACATCATTTTATTTTATAACGCGGATATTTGCGAAGTAAATTTTTGTAAGAGCTTTTATATAATGGATTTCCGCAAAGTAACGCCTGATTCTATTAATTATATTTAACG